GACAGAGTCCCTGCTTTAGCCTTTTTCAGTCCTCCTGAACATGGCTTATGATGACTCTCCCTATTTCCTCACATCAAAATGGTCATTCTTCTGGCAGAAAACATTAGGAATTCCATCTCATCAAGCTAAAGGAAGCCCTTGGGATTTCTGTGACTCTCTGTGCCTTGGTGACGCTGTTCCATTCAACACAGCACTGCACTTGGCATCTGGCATCGTTTACATTCATGTGGACTCTAACGGAAACCATTCCTGATTTTCTAATTTGTAGATCTGTTGGATTATCTCACCTGTATAACTTCTCTCAACCATTTTGTCCTGCTGTTTGCCTTTGTGGTGTTTTTAAAAACNCTGGCTCTGGAGCCAGATTATCTCTGTGTGAATGCTGGCTCTGCTGTGTAATAGCCATAGGATCTTGAGCAAGTCACTAAACCTTCTGGGCCTCCATTTCCTTATCTGTAGAATGGGTATAATTATAGTACCTACCTGGTCAGTTGTTGTATGGATTAAATTAGTTACTATATATGCATTGTTTAGAATAGGGCCTGGCACCTAACAAGTTAGCCTTTATTTTTGTTACTGTTTTTCGGGACTACACAGTATGAGTCAGGGGCCAAATTTTCTCTCACATAAAATGACCGTTGTTTTCCCCAGCACAATTTATTAAATAATAGTTTATTTTCTGACTTATTGGAAATAACAGCCTTTACCCTGTTAATAAAATCATACAATAACTACCATTTTTCAAGAGCTTATCCTTGATTTTATAGAGGTTAAGTAACTTGTACAACGGCACAAAGTAGGTAGATGGCAGAGCCAGGATCACAAAGCACATGGAATTGGCTCTCATGACTGCTTTAAACCATTGTACGTGGGTGCCTCCCTTAAACTTGGATTCAGACTCCAGCGCTTGCTCTCTGAAGAGCATGTCTAGCTGATGAAATGTCTAATTATGTAAACATAAATGCTGGGTACAGTGAACTACAGTAGTCCTCACATAACGTCCTTAATAGGTTCTTGGAAACTGCGAATTTATGTGAAACAAATGTATAAGGAAACCAATTTTACCACAGGCTAATTGATATAAACAAGAATTAGTTTCCTATGGCACATTTCTGATCACCAAAACATCACCAAACTTCTAGCTAAAGACCCCAAACACTTCTAATATTAAACATTGAAATACATGTTAGCTATACATACATTTAAAACAGATGAATAAAAAAAAAGTAAAAATAAGTGAGAATTCTTTCCCAAACTACTTATTCTAGTTCAGGGTTGGGGTGGCCGGAGTCTATCCCGGCAGCTCAAGGGGCATGCGGGACCCTATCCTGGACAGGACGCCCTTCCATCACAGGGCCGCTCACACACACCCACACTCACTCAGACTGGGACAATGTAAACAAGCCAACTAAAGTAATGGCACATCTTTGGGATGTGGGAGGAAACCAAGTGCCCGGAGAAAGCCCACGTGAACATTCCACACAGACAGTGGCCCCGGCTGCAATCATTTTTTTTCCCTCACCAACTTTATAACAAAATGACTTTGAATGAAATGATGCTATTTGAGGACCTGCTGTAACTGGATTGGACCTGTTATTCAGGCTTATGTAACACCCACAGGTCCAGGGCAGAGCAAATACCAAATCAGCTATTTGCACAATAGACAAGATAGGGTAGAGGGGGAAAAAGAAATGTATTTTTCATATCCATGAACATGGATGAATACAAAAGACTTTTAAAGAATTTTCGGACTCATCATCTCTTTCAAAATCCTCTCTCTATATCTAGTTGCATTTCAGTATCAAGTTGCCAGTCATTTTTACATTTTCCAAGCTTTATTGCCTCTAGAGAAGAATAGCAAATACAAATTTTACTTAGATAAGCAAAATCATCTCTATTGTTACTTCAACTGTAATAATGTGCCAGCCAGTGAATATTAAGTAAACACTTTATCCCTGTAGCCTCTNATTGATTGGAATAAAGGTCATACAATAAAAATAACAGACAGCATGTACAACAAGGAATGTTAATATACTCCTGGGGAGAAAATAAATTAGTACAACTATTCTGCAAACCACCTGGCATTGTCTAATATAAGCCAAAGAGAAACTCTTATATATGTGTTATCTGGAAGATTATTGCTTGTAATAGCGAACAACTAGGAACAACCAAACACCCATTGTTAGGAAAATGAAAACGATAAGAATGACGAGTACACAGCTGTGGGAATGAATGATGTACACGTTATATACACCACCATGGGGGCCGGCCAAGTGGCTCAGTTGGTTAAGAGCTCGCTCAAGAGTTTGAGCTCTGAGCAACAGTGGCTCGAGTCCAGCCCGAGCTGAGCAGCTGCTGAGCTGCCAACAGGTGGCAGGATGGCTCAGCTTAAAAAAAAAACAAAAACATACACCACCATGTATGAGCCTCAGAAACATAAAAGTTTTGTGGCAGAAGGATATATTCAGTATTTTAAATGCAAAATATTCAAAACAAAACAATATATTCCTCAGGATTGATATATATGTGGTAAAACTATGTAAGCTGAAAGGGAGTCTAGAAGACAAAACTTAGAAAAATTCTGGAGAGGGGAGGAAAGAGGCATGAAGAAAGGGAAGATGGGGGTTTCAAAGATCTTAGTAATGTCTGTTTCCTTGACTGGGCGGAAGCTTTGTGGTTGTTCATTTATTTTTATTCTCTATAACTCAAATAAAAGATCCATATATTCTTTTTTTGTATCTATGAATTACTTCATAGTTTTGGGTTTTCAAATTAAGCGAAATGTTTTCCATTATATCAATAGATTTAAGTCCTCCAGCAGATACTTTGCAATGGCAGCTACCCTGCGAAATTCAGTAAGATCCGTGTCACTATAGCTCACCAAAATTTTCATCACTAAAATAATCGGGATAACAACAAAATAGTAAATCATATCAAGCAAGTTAACTTGTCTGTTTTGTACCACCCTGGCATTAAGCTTCAAACTCATATTCTCCAGCCTTGAAGAATTGCAAATAGCACCTCTTGTTGCTTAAAAAGTGCCCTTAAAACTATCTTCTGTTTTATCAGGCCCATCTCAAAATGTAGTAGATCCTAATGGTACTAAAATCTCATTTATTGGATAGAATGCTCCTAATAAGGGCACTTAACTTTCACAAATGCCCTAACAGTTTCTGTGCATGAGCTCAAGAAAAATGATAATATATAAAGTAAGGAGCATAAACATTTGAAAAGGGGTTATTAAATTGCTGGTTATTAGATCACAGCCACACCCACCCACAGAGGTAAGAATCACCAGCTTTAAAGAGAAAGGTACAGATGTGATCAAAATAACAGTTCCTCATCGGATTTATGTAAAACA